TTTCTGTGTTCACTGAGCACAGAACATATATCACTTTATTCTTAGACCTACGGGGGCACATCTTGTCTTTTTCCATTTTATACCTAAGGTAAATGAGGATCAGAGAATTAAGTAACTGCTTTAAGTCACACAGCGAATAAATGACTGAGCTTCTAACTGAACCCGTGTAGGTCAGACCCCAGCTTTGACGGTTCCTGCCTCCTACAGTTGAATGGATTTCCTAAGAATGGAAGCTGGCCACAGTAACCAATTTTAATACAGTAACCAACAAGAAGAATAGACATGGAGTTAGTGAAGGCGAAATGACAGACTGCTCATTTCACTGCAGTACAGATGGCTGTCAGTGCATGGACAAACGCTCAGAGAGCTTCTTCCAAGTTATCTTCAAAGACGACCTATCTCTCCACTCTGTGCTTCCGTCTAGCTTCTGTCTGGAGTAAGTGAAAGGTTAAATCTCCAAGTCTCTTCCTTGAACTGAATAATAAGGGAACCGTGTCTCCACGCTGCAATTAAAAGAGGAGCCTGAGGCTTTACCGGAGAGATGATAAACTATGTGCTACAAGAACGTAGGATAGAGTTTCCTCCTTCTGCTTTCTGTGGACACAGAGCCCAACCTCAGACCCAGACTTTATTTGGATTTTGTCTAGCATACCCAAGGCAAGGAAGAGGACAAAAGGGAACATACCTATTCTTTGGGGGCACAGAGGTCCCCTCTCAGCTAGAACTCTGCCATCTCCAGCTCCCTTCCTCATCTTGCACGTGAAGCAGAGGAGTGTCAAAAGGATGCTGCAGTTATCAGCCGTTGGTCAGGGAAGGCTGAGAATCCTCCAGTCTGCTGAAAGTAGGTACTTTCATCCTGGCTTCGGGGCCATAACAAAGCAGAGAGACCAAATGTTGGCTGGCATCTCGGTTTCCTTCTTCCTCACCTACCTTGGCCCATTCTTCTTCCTTTCTCATTCCCTCTGAGCTGAGATTGGAAATGGGGTGTCAAGCATTGGGGTATGTACTCTACCACTGAGTGATAGCCTAAGCCCGGATCTTATTTTATATTATTTTTTAAAGTCTTTTCAAATTATGACATCCATATCTACGTATGTCTGTGTGTGGCTTTGTGTATGTGTGTGCAAAGCCTGAAGAAGAAAACGTTGGATCCCCTGCAGCTGGAGTTGCAGGTAGTTGTGAGCTACTTGGTGGGGTGCTAGGAACAGAACTCTGGTCTTCTATATGAACAGCAAGCGCCCCTAACCACTGAGCCATCTCTTCAGCTCCCAATATTCTTATTTTTAAGGTTCTGAGAAATAGTAAAGTAATTCCACCCTAGAGAGATGACTTCTTCTCCCTCTCCCTCTCCCTCTCCCTCTCCCTCTCCCTCTCCCTCTCCCT